TGTCAGGGCTTACGTTACAATTTGAATATTAAATACGCGAAAAATGTAACTAGCGCGCGCTTGACTAAATCAAAAAAAAAAAAAAATAATGATAAAATAAAAGACCAAGGAACAACATAATTAAAAAGAGTACGCTTTCAAAGTAAAGACAAACAACTGCTTATTGCGTTAAGTGCTAAGGAGAAAGAAGGGTGAAGGGGAGGGGGAACGTACGTCGCGATTGTTTCAATTTTGTCTTTGATTGGTTGAAAAAACGGCAGGGGATTCCAAGCCAATCACAGGGAGTGAAAACAAGTGATGAAAAAGTTTCACTTTCTGTGAAAGTTGTAAAACGGAATAAACGAAATAATAGAGACATTGAATGTGAATAAGAAACCCGTACCTCTCATCATAATTGACGTTGATATCGTTCGCTCCGCTTTATACACAAGTCTATTTGCTTTCACGCACACTACAAATTGTACAGGTTTCTATGAATAATTACTAAAACCTTCTCCAAAAGTTACGAGAAGTACCATCCGCAATTGTTGTTCGTTTCAGACACAATATCGATATAGTATTCCAGCTCTGTACTTGTGGCAAACTTGGGCATTTTGTATCTGTTCGATTGAGTGTTCTTCTGCTGAGTTGGCCGAAATGCGTCGCACAAAATACGATATTGTTGCCATGGTGGAATGGGAGCAGTTATATTTCTGTCATGTCGCTTATGAGAACTCGCTAACTCGGAACATTTAAGATGCGGAAATCTGGATTGAAAGGGGGAGAGCAAATGAGGGCTGGGCTTCAAATCTTTGTGAACCGTCCTTCGCAGAGAGGATTGATTTCCACTATTTTTAACAAGTTGCTCTTGGCTTTCGAACACTAGAGTGCGTACGGAAGATCCTCTGGAGCTGTCGAGCTCTGGAGTTGGCATGGGAGGATTTGGTGAGATATCGCTCACTGCACTGTGAGAGCAGCACACGAGGTGAACACCTGGCGATTCAACAGTGCTGTCGTCTTCCTCTAGCTTAACAGAAGGCACCTCACCGCTTCCTCCAACGCTCTCGTATTCACGAGGCGCCACTCTTTCTACACCATTGATGAAAGTCAGTTTTGAACAATCTGCTGAACCTCTTTTGCAATCGTTCTCTTTTAATTTTCTATCGGAAAAGTCCAACACAGTACTCAAGTTAGACTGCGTACTTTTAGTGACGTCAACGCCAAGTCTTGCTGACGGTGCGGAATCCTTTTTGGACTCCATAGCTACCGTTTCTGATGCACGTTCACGAGACATTTTCGAACGTCTCGCATTTGAACCAGCGTTGTTCCATCGCCTTCGAGGCCAACATTCGGTCTTCACCGATGCTTGGCCATAAACCCTTTGAAGCTCTTTCTCTTCTCCAACTTTGCCACCGTCTTTGGCAGATAGGTACAAAACCTTACACCCCGAGTTCAATCTTTCCATATCGTTTCGATAATGATGGAAATTCTGTAGATGCTCATAACATTCAGGTACAAGACTCTGAACAAGTTCATCGCGTTTCTTGGCATCTAAAGCGTAAGTAATGCTGCTGTTAATTCGGCCACTGATGGGCGTTCTTGAATTCCGTCTCGTAACCAAATCCTCCTCGCCGATTGTTGGCTCTGAACGAAAAGAAATTGTCCGAAATGCATCTTTCATTTTTTCCACAATTGCTCTCTGTCTGTGATTGTCGACCTCTGAAACATCACGTTTTTGCCTTGTCACAGGGCTCCGGCTGAACCCAAAAGGACACTCATTTTTTACGCAAGATTTTCGGACGTTAGTTTTTAACTCTGGTTCCCGGAAAGAACGTGCCATGATAACTCATCCAACTATAACCCTACCAACAATAACACAGTTTACGTTAGCAACGAAAGAATTGTGTAAATTAGTGATTGAAGCCCGGACCTATTTCATTAAGTAAACAGAAGCTAATTAAATCCTTTTATGAAGTTTGTTTGACAATGGAAAATCGCACATTAGAGGGATTAGTGTCTAGCTTTACTAAGACTAACGCGATCGTTAAGGAAGTTATAAGTCGGTGGATAAGATTAAAGGGTGTTACTTTCTAAAGAAACTGTGGAGCTGCATCGGTGGGGGTCTTGCAAGATAATTTGGTTTTACAAATGAATTGTTTTGAAATGTAAACTGAATTGTCACCGACTTTCTAAAACTGACGTTTCGAGTGTTAGCCCTTCGTCAATGCAAATGACGATCGGGCTAAACATCAGCTTTAAAAAAACTCCTTTCGGTGGTCAATTTACATACTCAAGTCGGTAGATAACAAGTATTACAGTAGCTTCACACATTGTTGTCATATTTGCACAACCAAAAAATGTAGGTGACATTTGGGTTTTAGTTGACGAACGCGGCACCAATGAATTAAAGGCCTAAGTTTAGCCATTGTTTAACAAAACCGCGTTCTAAGCCGTCTTCAATTTCGCCGTACCTTTTATTTGAACATTTATGTTTGTAAACACTGTCAAGAGGGCCGAAAGCCAACGGCGGAAGGACATCAACCCTCTTTAAAGAGAATTCCCGAGGCCCACCGCTTGCAAAAACCGCGGTTACGGCTAGAACTCGTGTAAACCGGCCGTAAAGAGTCAAAGTCGAGTACATTAGGAGATTAAAAACGTGTTGAAATCGCCGTCGGTTCTTCAACTGCAAGTTCGAGTCAATAACATCTGGGACTGACGATGCATTGAAGTCATCGTCAGTTCGTTAAGTATAAGTCCAAGTCGATTAGAAACGGAGATTGACGATGTGTTAAAATAACCGTCGGTTCGTCAACTACAAGAAAAGTAATTCACATCCGAAGAAAGACGACGCGTTATATTCACTGTCGGTTCGTTAACTACGAGAAAATGTCGATTACATCCGGAGATTGACGAGGCGTTGAAGTCACTAGTGGTCCGCTAACTACGAGTCTAAGTCGATTACATCTAGAGATTAACGATGTGTTGAAACCACCGTCGGTTCGTTAACGATCACCTCTTACCGGACTTTTCGTTAAATTGAAAAGAAAAAAAAATCCTTCAACGATACCTTCGACTCGAGACACAATTTATTGTTCAATCGCAGATGAGATGGATCAGTGGTTACCTTTACTGAGACTTGGCGCTTGATGTACACGCAATCGTTAAGAAAGTAATGAGTAAGTGGAAAAGTATTACAGAAAGAGCATACAGAACTATGAGAAGATTCACCATCAGGCTGTGTTAGGATGTAAGTGGTTACGGTTAAAATCCCTTTAGCAATTTTCAGCCCATGCTCTACTCGAGTCAGTCGGTGTTCATTTTCACATCATTGCTGAATTTCATGTGTAATCCTGACCAGCAAACTTAGTTTTAAAGCAAGCCTATGATTTATGTTTTAGATGATAATAAAATTCAGTCGTACTCTGTAGCGCCTTTGGCCTGAGAGTTCTAATGTACAAGAGGATAAACACTGCTTTCACTAAAAAAGAGACACTCGTTATTGGGAAGACTACAATATAACCACCACTGCGAGCCCGGAATTATTTCCAGAAACGTACTTTCATCCACTATGTTGGCATCTGCTATTTATAGCGCTAGGGCTAATCTGTCTTCACACTACCTGAAAATATTGCCCTCCAGGAACAAAATTACCAGAATATTGAACAAACATAAAGTTTTGTAGTACACACAACAGTAAGTATTAAACACATGAAATACACGTTTCGTTCACAACTTGTAGGTCGTCAAAGCATCATAGATAAGATTTCGATAATCAGAAAAAAACATAAAGCCTGTGAAATTACAAAATGTCCACAAGCCAAGAAGCTGAGCTGCGAAAGATGGTTGATTACTCTCTCCTTTTTTTTTTGAGGGGGGGGGGCGCGGCGGGGTTGGGTTAGGGTTACAGTTTCTTTTTCAATGAGCGGCCGCCAATGGTGTAATAGGCAGCTGTTCCCAGAAAGGGGCCCTATTTACTCTTTTACTCCTTTACTCCAATCAATGACCAAGAAGAAATTTTCCTCACAATATCAATACATTATCAAGACAAGTAACGAGAATAAAGGAAAAGAAAAATCAGGGGATCACCAGTTGATCTAATAACAAATTCTCTGAACTAAAATCATAAGAATTGTATAGCAGACAGTAAGGAGAAGTACTGAGATCTTGAGAGTGAAAGGGTTAAGAAGGTAAAACCCAAACAGGACAGCCAGCTCGCAAGCTAAGCAGATGGTGTTAGGGTCTTACAGGTGGCGGGAGTCCGCTGGTAATCGGCTTCTTAGCCCTTTAACCTTTAAGGGTGACTAACATCTAATTTAAAATATTAACCCTGAATCACACATTTGAGTCATAAGAATCATAAAAATCATTACCAACGAAACGAGCTTTTGATTGTTGAATAAATTCTCCTTGTCAGCTCTTTGGAAATGTAGAGAGAAGAGTATGGAGAATATGCTTACTGATGTTAGAGGGTAAAGGGTTGATAAAACCCCTGCTACTTAGAGATAAAATATAACGTGTGAAAATGTTTAGTAATGTTACCCAGACTCACTAGAGCTGAGCTGTTCCTTGGTTGACACTATGAACCTTTTAAATAAAATAACTAAGAACAAAACTAGATTCTGCTATTTGTGACTATCATCACTTTTTCGTATCAAACTAGAAAGGCTGTCGAGTACTTTGATTAAAACAACAAAGAAAAAACGAAATTCTGCCACCGCTTCTGTAAAACAAAACTTTAAAAAGACATGACCCATCAGTATCACTCTATTACTAAGGCATCGTTCAGGGATCAACTATGCGTTATGTTGCGTTTGCTACGAAAGAAGCACAAAGAAAAGGCTATTGCATACTCTCGACACTTTAACCCCTTTCGAGTGACGGACTTCTTATTTCTCCTTACATTATCACCCTTGAATCCAATGCAAAGGTCGAGAGAGTAAAGGAAATAATCACCAATTAAGAAGCTAGAAGCTTTCCCGATTGGCAAACCATTTCTCCTTGTCAGTACCAACGGAATTGTAAAGAACACAGTTTGCAGAATATGGAAAACAACGTAGGGGTTTAAGGGTTAACGAAGCACATGGAACTCAAGAATAGGTCTCACACTGGTTTGCCGTTCTATAAAAGCGAGTATCCCATTGGCCACCAGCTACTTTTCACAAAGAAAATACTTCACTTTCTCCAGAAGGTACTTGTGACTTCTCCTCGGTGCTATACCCTTAACACGTTACACGTGTCCACAAGTCACGACTTGGGAGATTGACGGTGTCTTGTATCCTGCTCTTTCTTCCCTTCGTTCTGTCCGCCACTCTTGGAATGGGATCTTGGTCTTCTCCGTTTCGCTTTGTTAGAATCCTCGGGAGAATTGGGCTTTTCGGCTCTTCCGCTCTTTGCACGGTGTTGATTGGTTTTCTGTGGTGCTCTTCTTACCATCACGGACGTGATTATACTATCTTTGTCTGATCACAATACAGTGCTATGTTCCCCAAAGACAAAGAAGAAGACAGAGAAGACAACGAAATTCATCCTTAAAACGCGATCTACGTTCCACCCGTAAAGCTGAGCTCGGTCGGTATCTTGCTAACATCGATTGGCGTGTACTTTTTGGCGGACTCAAGAACTGTGAAGAATACCTCCAGGTATTCCAATCTGTTGTTTGTACTGGTTTGGACCTTCTAATGCCCCTTAAAAGAGTTCGAATCAAACACCACCGATGCCCCTTGAATGATGAGTGAACTGAAGTCACCAATTTCTAAAAGACAGCGAGCCTTTCACGATCACGGACCTCAGTCAAACCTGTTTAAGACCTACAGAAATGCCGTAAACCGAAAGCGGAAAAATTGCAAAGCGATCTTCTATGAATCCAAAGTCGATGGAATGAAAGAAAAAGACCCCAAAGCTTGGTGGAAAGAAGTAAAAAGGCTTAGCGGAGCACTAAAATCATCAAGTAACCTGATTCCTCTTCTGCACATTGAAGAGTTAGAAGGTTTACCCATGTGCGAGACAGCCAACTGTGTAAACCAAGCGTTATTAGAGTCCCTAGAAGAGTATCGTTTACCAGAAAAGATTCCGGAACTTACTCTCGAAGACCAGAACCCACAACTCCTAGTTATTACGGTGTATGGTGTCTTTAGGTGTCTTTTAAACCTTAATGCAGTGAAAGCAGGTGGACCTGATGGCATTCCGAGTTGGGTTATTAAGGAGTATGCAGAGTCTCTAGCCTACCCTGTGTCAACCATCCTAAATGCTTCCTTTAAAGGACAAAAATTACCGAGATCATGGAAATGCGCAGACGTCACTCCATTACCAAAAAGTAAACCAATAAACGACATTAAGAAAGATCTGAGACCAATTTCCCTAACACCGAGTATTTCTAAAGTCGCAGAGGACTTTATTGTCACCCAACATTTGAAACCAGCCGTGTTGAGTCAATTGGATCCTGCCAAGTTTGACGTAATACCAAAGTCTTGAACAACCTTTACCTTATAAGAGATGCTCCACGAATGGTCTAAAGGGACTGACGGGACGGACGGGACTGGCTCAACAGCAAGGGTACTTATGTTCGATTATAAGAAGGCATTTGACTTGATCGACCATGGTATTCTCGTCAATAAGTTATGCCAACTCGACATAGTACCTAGCGTCATCAACTGGATAATTGATTTCCTGTCAGACCGTTATCAGAGAATTAAGATGTCTGATGGGTGCGTATCGGAATAGGGCTCTGTTTCATCTGGTGTCCCGCAAGGTACCAAATTAGGTCCCTGGCTTTTCTTGACTATGATAGACGATTTAGCGATCACCAACGCCTCCCTATGGAAATTTGTCGACGATACGACGGCCTCAGAACTTGTGAAGAGAGGTCACCCCAGTGGAGCTCAAAATACCATGATACCACGAACCAAGTAATAGAGTGGTCAAAGAAAAACAGACTTATACTAAACACAGACAAATGCAAAGAGCTCCGAATTGGTTTCTCTTCAATTCCAAGGGATTTTGATCCAGTTTCAATAGATGGTAAACACATGAAATTGGTTAAACAAGCCAAACTCTTGGGTGTTACCATCTCCGAAGATTTGAAATGGAACACTCACATAACCGAGATTACCAAGAAAGCAGCAAAGATAACCTATTTCCTCGTACAGCTAAAAAGAGCTCACGTTCCACCAAAAGACCTTCGCCTCTTTTACACGGCATGTATACGATCCATAATCGATTATGCAGCACAAGTTTTTCATTACTCTCTCCCTGAATACCTCCACCAAGAACTAGAACGTATTCAGGAAAGATCCATGAGAATCATTTGTCCTGGTATGCAATACGAACAGGCCTTAGCTATTATGAATCTTCCAACAGTAAAAGACCACCATAAAAATATGTGTACAGCAACATTTCGCGATATAATGAACGATCCTCAACACAAATTACGTAAACTTTTACTACCCCGCTATGTAAGCTCTCATAGGTTAAGGCATGAGCGTACCTTTGCTTTGCCACTTTGCAAGACAAATAGACTCAAAAACAGTTTTTTATTGCTTCGGCCAGAATAGTCAACAGCCACAAATAATGTACAAATTCCCCCATACCATAAACTATGTATTTTTTAATAATAAGATGTATTCATGTACATAGTAATTTCTATTTTATATCTGTAAATACGCAATTCAGTTCATGCTGCGAAGTATTTACCAATAAAGTATCTATCCATCTAGAGGTGAGAACGTCTTTCTGGTACTTTTCGATCTATCGGCAGCGTTTGATACAGTTAATCATTCTCGCTTTTTGTCTAGACTCCAAATTAATTTTGGTATCCAAGGCACAGTTTTGGAATGGTCTCGATCATATCTCTCTAGCAGAACCCAGTTTGTCAGTACAAATGGCAAAAAATATACACTACGGGAACTTACAGTTGATATTCCCCAAGGATCTGTGGTGGGACCAGTATTATACTTACTCTACACCGCACCACTTGCTGAGGTTATACAATCACATGGTCTTCATTACCAGATGTATGCTGATGATAACCAATTGTATTTTTCTTTTAAAACGCAGGAGGTTGACTTAGCAAAGTCTAAAATTGAGGAATGTATTACATCTATTTGTAACTGGATAAATTTGAACGAGCTCAAGCTTAATCATGATAAAACCGAAATCATGCTGTTTCATTCTAAATTTCGGGCACCGCCGCTCGTTTAATCTTTGCGGGTCGGGTCTGAAAACGTTCCTTTGTCTTCCTCAGCCAGAAGTTTTGGTGTGATATTCGATGAAACTACGTCGCTTAATGCTCATCTGTCCAGTGTTTCTAAGTCGTCGTTCTACCATTTGCGCAACATATCCAAAATTCGCAAGTACGTAAATAAAGAATCTGCGCTACTATAGTTCATGCGTTTGTTACATCTAAATTGGACTATTGTAACTCACTGCTATTTGGCTTGCCTAAGTATCAGTCACAGAGGTCGCAATATGTCCAGAATACTGCAGCAGAAGTGGTGTGCCAAGGACGTAAATACGACCGTATTACACCAATGTTACAGGAGCTCCATTGGTTACCTGTCTATTTTAGATCTATATTCAAGATTTTATTCATTGTATTTAACTGTCTTGATGATAATGCACCAGACTATTTAAGAGAGAAACTCTAGTACAGACAGTACTCCAGATCACTTAGATCTGTTTCAAATTTGTTATTAAAAGAACCTAGGTCATATACAAAAACTTATGGGGATAGAGCATTTTCGAACCTGGCCCCAAGACTTTGGAACAGTTTACCATATGACCTACGTAACCTTAACACTGTTGGAAACTTTAATAAAAGACTGAAAACCTCTCTTTTTACTAAATATGTTGACGATTGCCCGTTATTTTAAAGTTTGCCTACTGTTTCATGTATATTAGAATCATATTTACAATAGAATTATATCTATTACTATATAGTTATGTAGCTTGATTGTATTATTGTATTTAATTTTAGCTTAATATATTGCATTTTATATAAACATTGTAAAGCGCCTTGAGCACAGGATATGTGCGCTATATAAATAAAATTTATTATTATTATTATTGTTATTATTATTATAATTAGGCTCTCTTTTCAGGGTCTTTCTTGGTTTCCTGTGGTGCTTTCTTTCCAGGTTCTTTCCTGGTTTCCTATGGTGCTCTCTTTTCAGGGTCTTTCTTGGTTTCCTGTGGTGCTCCCTTTCCAGGTTCTTTCTTGGTTTCCTGTGGTGCTCTCTTTTCAGGGTCTTTCTTGGTTTCCTGTGGTGCTCTCTTTCCAGGCTCTTTCTTACTTGAAGATGACTCTTTGTGTTTATTCGAAGACAGTGTGGACTCGGCACCACGGTGAGGATCGTCCCCGGGGGATTGACTCGGTCTTTCTTCAGAACGCTCCGATCTAGGCTTTTGGGGTGTTGACATTTGACTTGGCTCAGCACCACGGCGAAAATCGTCTATTGAGGATTCATTAGATTTTGCTTCGGAGCGTTCAGATCCACGCCTAGTGTTTTTATTTGACTCGGCATCACGGCGAGGAAGGTCCCTGGAAGATTCACTCGGTTTTTCTTTGGGGCGTTTAGATCTCGGCCTTTTAGGCGTAGAAATTTGATTTGAATCAGCACCTCGGCCAAAAGGGTCTCTTGGAGAGTCAGTCGGTTTTACTTTGGAGCGTTCATATCGAAGCTTTTTGGGAGTAGAATTTTTACTTGACTCGGCACCGTGGCGAGGACCTTCTCTAGAGGATCCACTCTGTTTTTCTTCGGCGCGTTCAGATCCAGGTCTTTTGGATGAAGACGAAGGAGAATCCATTGCAGCATCAACTTTGAAATCGACGCGATTCTTCTGACGTTGATTTTGCACCTGAGTATTCTTTCTTTCTTTTGTGCCATCATCCCCGGTTTTCTCCTGCTCGTTTAAAGGACTCTCAATAACTTCGTTTTGTCTTTGTGTCTTGGCCTTTCTTCCACGACGGCCACGTCTAGCGTTCTTTTTCCTGGGGGCATCTACCTGCGTAGCGGAAGTTTCAATGGGTTCTTCTTGTTCCTCAGCTCTCTTCCGCTCACCTTTGTCTACTGTAGTCGCATTTGCCTCCGATTTACCTTTCAAAGTAACCTCATGGGTAGATAAGTGTTGTTCCTCTGTGCTCACCCTTCTGGAAGCGACTTCATTGTGCCCTTGGGTCGACGGAGCCGTTCCATTTGGCTTTTCAGAAACACTTTCTGTACTATCAACTTTATCCACCATCATTCCTTCATCTTTTTTTCTAATCACATTCTCGGTAACAGTTGTACATGTTTCCTCTTTTACAGTTACCTCGGTGTCTTGGAAGGAAGCAATCGCATCTTCTGATTCTTGTAGTTCAGTATGCCCATTGGAATTCAATTCCTTTACTGGCACTGGAGCTGAGCAACTGCTTTGCAATTCAGCTGTAGCGTTGCCTTCCCATAGGCTCTTCACTTTGCTCAGCTTGGATAACAACTGGTGTTCTTCTGGTGTCTTGGCAGCTTTCAAATTCTTTGGAGCAATGTGCAGGCCCATAGACTGACATAGAATGGGAAATGTGTTTCAAAAATACGAGAAAGGGAAAGGGAACAACTGCAAGAATACGTTACTGTGGCAGAACAGATCAATTAAGATCTTCATCCTGCACTACCGTTGCCTAAAAGTAAGGGAGGCTAAACTAATCATTAGCTTCTGAAACGTTCAATCCACTAAAAATTTCAAATAATAGAAAGTAGTCTAGACATTTTACAACTATCGAACGCAGAAATGTAAATTATAACTCAAATGCAACTTGACAATGGTGGCAAAGTTTCCAAAGAAAATGCAAAGTGTAGTCATTCCACAGTTACACGATCATTACTAGGTGCGTATCAATAAGGAAAATTAATATATTTTCAAATACGTCTAAGAAATATTTCATGTCGGAACAAAGAATCTCGATGCAACAAGCAAGATCACTGAGTACATACCTCAAACTCATCATTTGCAGGGGGATTCGTTGGGGGAATGTCTTCTTTCTTTACCTCTTCTTCAGCAGCCCGGAAGAGGCTGATAAACTGTTCTCCTGTCTAAACATCCAGTACACCACATTAACCTTACAGTTCTCGACAATCAAAGAAAAATACAGTAGCGAAACGTAAAAAAAAACAACCGATCACCGCCAGAGATGAAAAAGGGCTACATG